TCCTTCTGCTAAGTCTCATGAGTGCAAACACCTCGTCTACTTCAACACGTGATCTGCGTTGCCTAGAACAGGGATGAATAAATTGTAGACATCTCAAATATGTTTAATAAATTAATCAAATAAATGACATATAGGCTTTCAAATGAGTGCTGTGCCCTTCATAGTATTTACCTTAGAAAACAATATCAAAAACAAAAAACAAAGAACAACTATTTATTTTGCAAAGAAACAAACTCCTGATTTGTACTTGCTTAGGATGATGATGCCTTCTCTCTCTCTCTCTCACACACACACACATACACACACACACACACACACACAGTCGTTATCTAGCATAGCTATCCATGTTGTTTCCCAAGATGAGTTCCAAGTTACTATTGATTATAGAAATAAAATTTATTATCAAAGGAGAAAAATAAAATATTTTTTGTCCCTGAGGAAATGTAAAGAATGTGCCTTGGTCACAAAAAATGTTTTCATGTAAATGCAAAGTTACTCCTCTATTTATTGGGCACTTACTACATGCCAGACACTGTGCTAGGGACTGGAACTGCCTAAAGAATAAAACATAACCCCTGCCCCGTTGACTGCTGAAGAGATGCCTCAACGTGCCTGCCGGGTTCCTACTTGAGAGGAACCCACTCCACACATCAGAAGAGGAAGGAGGAGGGAGGAGCCCTGGGGGAGGGGAAAGATGGGTCAAGGAGAAGAGAGCCCTGCATTACCACTGAGGCCCAGGGGCTTTCTGGAGAACTACAGTGGCTGAGGAGAATGGATTCAGTTGCCTTGCATGTGTTAGGAATGGAAAACCTCCTCCAGCTCATCCACATCATCCAAATCCTCAGCTCTCAGTTAGAATGGAGGATGTTTCTTACTGTTGTTTTGCGTCTGTTTTTGAAGAGAGAATAAGAGGATCGGGGAGATTGGGCATTTGGCGAACACAAACGTGGTGGCCTGATGCTTCACCCTGGGTGGTTTTGGACCCTTTGAACGTACCACATAATTGACTTTGGTATTTTGTGTTCCTCGCTCAGGGATGAGTGACACCAGCAAAAAAAGGGGGGAAAGTTCATCCTGAATTTTGAATTCTGAGAGCCTAGAATTCAGAGAACACAAAATATTCAGTTTATAAAATGTGTTTGTAAGAATGGCTGACCATTAACAGTCATGCACCCAGTCCTGACAAGATCAAGATTCCCTGGGACTTTCAGATAGGGAAAGAGGAGTGCACAAATACTCCCTCTTCTGTTAGTGGATCCCTAACAGAAGAGACACTGAGCGTTGTCATCCTTCTCCTGCCCCATGAACACCTCATACGGAGCTAACAAAAACACCAGAAAGGATTGGGGAATCTAGGCATAGAGAGACCCCTTTCCCAGGTAAGGCTCCATGGAAGCATGAAGAGCCCACAGTGACAGTGGTTATAGGGATCTCAGGGCAGAGGGGACTTAACAGCTGCCCAGAGCTTCCCATAGCCAAGCAGTGATCAGCAGTGGCAGAACGATTCTCTGTGTTCTCTGTGTGGAGATGGGTGAGAGCTTGCAGAGCAGGAGTGGGGCTGACGGGTCCCTGATCCAGTGACTGGCTTCCCAGACAGAGGGAGAGGTCTCTGCTGCTGGGAGTCTCTGCTGATGCCAGAATGGACGGCCCTGACATGTGACAACATCTGCGGTCCTGGGGAAGATGAGCATCCCGACTTGCCTGGGAGTATGCTCCCACCACCAGGTGGAATGAGCATGTGAGATGATAGTGAAGCTTCTAGCCGCACACAAAACAAACGTCCTTACTTACAGAGATCACCGCCAGTGAAAACTCTGAGGGTCCTTTCCTTCCGTAGATACACACAGACTGAACTAAAAGTTATATAGGATGCATCTAATCATCCATCAATCATCTGATTATTCATCTATAGTATCTATCATTTGTCTACAACGTTATTCACTTGAGGTAGTAAAGACATCTTTTCATCTACGTACAGCTCTGTCTCATTCTCTTTAGTAGCTACGTAACATTCAGCTTAATGGCGGCACTACAATTTATTTAACCATTCCTCTATTGATGGAAATTTGGTTGTTTACAGATTTTAATGAGAAGATGGCATTCCATTTTATGAACTTATCATAATTCATGAAAGCATCTCTTACTGGTAGATATTAGGCTGCAGGCAATGTTTACTGTTACAGTACTCAATCAAACTTCCTGTACATATACCTCTATAATGTTTTTATTTGATTTTTTGTTAGATCCATAAAAGTGAAATGGCATGGCCAAAGGATATGCAAATATATTTTATTAGATAATTCCAAATTGCCCCCAAAATGTTTGTAGCAGTTGGTTGTTCCTGCCAACAATGATGAAGCTGCCTATTTTTTCACAGCCTCGACAGCAATCAATGTTAACAATATATGACATGTTAACAGTCAGATTTGGCAGAAACTATTTTGTTGTTATTCACTTCCTTATTCCTTTAATCAATACTGAGGTTGAGCATCCTTTCACAGATTTATTTGCCATGCGTACTTCTTTTTGGCTTATACGTATTCTTTATCCCTTTAGGGTATTGTCTGTCATTTTCTTTCAATGAGTTAGATTTCTCTGAATATGGGATATTAATAGTCAGTTGTAAATGTTTCCCCTACCTTGTTTGTCACTTATGTTTTTATTTTGTTTAGTCTGGTTTTTTTACTGGGAAAAAGTTTATAAAATTTGGTAACCAAATATGTCATTTTGTCCCTTCTTTCATTTTGTTCACTCTCACTGCAAGGCTACGGAAATGTTCCTCCATATTTTCTTCCAGTATTCTTTTGGTTTTTATTTTTACATTTAGGTCTTTGATTTAACATATATTTATTTTTGTTGATGATATAAGGTAGGGATCTTCATTTAACTTTTTCCAATGCGTAGTCACTTGTTCTCATTCAACAAATTTAAGAAATCATTCTTTTCACTAATTTTAAATGCTGATTTTATCATAGATTAGAGACCCTTGTGTACCTAACTTGGTTTCTGTGCTGCTTTTTTTTTTTTGTTCCATTGGTGGATTTGTCTGGTGCTGAACTCTTACTTATATTTTCATCATCCTTGCTGTAAGTTGGGCGGCTTTTCAACCCCTGGAGTTTCTGGGAGACAGAAACGACATGTTGGTGCTTCTGTTGCACAGAGGACAGAGCACACCGCTGAACACAGAGCTTCCTTTAGGAGAAAATTTGGATTTTCACACATTCTGGAAGAAATTATTAAACTAATTAGCTAAAACCCAAGGTAATAAAATCACTGTTAATGGGCAGGAAGGCCTCCCCAGAATTTAAATTCTTCCTGGTGCTTCTCCTGTGCATTTACGTGCAGACAGCATCCTCCCAGGGCAGGGAGAAGCAACTCTAGGAGAGCCTTAGTTTACCTTCCAGCTCCTGGGGTGCACGGCCTTTCCAATTACCATCTCAAGCGAGGGAGCACCTGCCTCAGGAAGGGCAGCTCCCGTTAAATCTTCAGATGTTAAAGGGCAGTGGGAAACGTCACAGTCTCCCAGCAAGAGAGCAGAGAGAACGGGTGGGTGTAAATCTCAGGCAGCTGATCGTTGGAATCCATAAGCCCAACCTTGTAAATAATTCACTTCAGTGCAGGAAATCTGCATATGAGCATGAAATGTCATTTATAACTCATAGGATATTGGCTTGGCTGGGAACAGCTTTCCAGTCGACTCATTAAGTGCTGCTAAGGAAGACAGAATATAGCTGATGTAGAATACACTCCCTCCAGTAAGCCTGTGACTGTACAGACTAGTTAGCAGTACTCAAACTGAAAATAAAACTCAAGACTATGCCTGCGTAATCACTCAACTCTCCACAAGCTCAGTGGCTCTCTGGGGTTAGCTTGGCTCTACCTCGTTTCCCAAGGTGCTTCCAGGCCTGCCCTTCGCTGAAACCCAGAGCAGACCAGGAGAAATGTTGGCCGCGGTGCTTTCTCATGAAGTGATGCGTGCTTACTGGCTGCAAAGAGAATATATAATGTTCCAATTAAGAACTTATCGCCCTGAAATTCTGGAATCTCACATAGATGACTTGTGGAGAAACAAGATGGTCTTTGTAATGAGCTCCTTTTCTCTCTTTATTAAATATTGATTGACTATGGAAGAAATTCAATTTCCAAATAGAGTTTAAGTCTTGTTCCTAGGGTATTTGGTAGTAAGTTTTTTATTTTTTTTGTTTGCTTGTTTGTTTCAGTTTTGATTTGAGGACTGCGAACATCTCCAGAGCAGGAGACATTTGGAAGAGCCCGTGCCTACTGGTATCTGAAACTTGGCTGCACATGTGAGTGGGTGCTTTATTTTTATTTTTATTTTTCCAAGTGAGGCTGGGTATGTTGAAAACACAAAAAGCCTACAGTGGGAGAAAGAAGGAGTTTTTTACCTGTGGAAAGAAAAATAAAATTATTATGCCTTCCAGTTTAAATATAAGCCTCTGAAAACGTTTCCAGCCAATTGTACACCTATCTGTTGATACATAGAGACATTAGCTAAGCACAACTAGAACCACTCTAGAAATAAACTCAAAGAAGGGCTGAGCTTTCTTGGCCTTCTTCCCAAGAGAGTTATTTACTAAAAGAGCAGGAGGGACTCATTATGAAATGGCTTGCCTATCACAAGGTCCCATGTCACTGGCTCTCAGAGGTGATTAGAGATTTGCAGGCTCTCGCTGACGAAGTGCTCATCCTGTCTCATGGAGTGACCTCAGATAGAAGGAGGTCGCTGCAGTATACATGGTTCACTCAGTCTATCTATGTGGCCCCGTGCTCTATCACGGATGGATTTTAATTTCCTCTGGCCTAATTTCCTTTTTACAAAGTAATTTGATAGCTACCCAGCATGCACACTCTCCTAGGTGGCTACAGATTGATTGCTTGATGAATGTGCCAGTATTTTTTTTTAACTGCTAAGGTTATCGTTTACCCACTTTAAAATATGTAGTATTTTTTTGACGGCTAAGGTTATTGTCTACCTACTTTCAAAATACGCTGTTTGCCTTTTTCCAGTCTTCAGAAACCCCTTGTATCCTGCGGATTCCTCAGCAACACTGTCACATGGAAGAGAACCAGCAATGTGAACAAACATGAATATGATGTTCATTTTCAGACTGAAAAAGGAAATAATTACAGCTACTATTTACAGTGTCTGGCTTTTCAAGCTTCATGTTACAAGCAGCTAACTCTTTGTCAAACAATTAATTTTGTTTAAGATAAATAAGTTTATATATTTAAGGTCATGTTTCAGAAGTAAAACCAGAACTATGGTTTTTATTGAGTTATAAAATTAGTTGGGGAAAAGGTAATGAATCTAAAACAACTCTTGAGATCTGCCATGTAGAATCTGAAGTATCAGTGTAAATTAAAAGCGGATTCACAGAGAATTCTATGAAACCGAGTTCCTTATTAACTTGAGGGTGCCAGATTGGATCATTTCTCAGGTTTCTCATGGCTTTTAAATACATAAGTAAAAGCCCAGTGAATTATCAAAGAGATCTGTGACCAGTGTGACTTCAGTGTTCCACTGTGATTTGAGCATATACATCACTGACTGGTTTTTTTTTTTTTTTTTTTTTTTTTTAGACGGAGTCTCGCTTTGTCGCCCAGGCTGGAGTGCAGTGGCGCAATCTCGGCTCACTGCAAGCTCCGCCTCCCGGGTTCACGCCATTCTCCTGCCTCAGCCTCCCGAGTAGCTGGGACTACAGGCGCCCGCCACTGCGCCCGGCTAATTTTTTCTATTTTTAGTAGAGACGGGGTTTCACCATGGTCTCGATCTCCTGACCTTGTGATCCGCCCGCCTCGGCCTCCCAAAGTGCTGGGATTACAGGCGTGAGCCACCGCGCCCGGCCTGACTGGTTTTTTTTAGTGGTCAAAAATACATTTGACAATGTGCCAACAAAATTTTTCTCAAATCATGCCATATATCATTGGTTTATCAGAGCTTACAATTCATAGCAATAAGTTTTGTGCCTTTTATTCTGAATTTCACAGTCTTTTATGAAAGCATCTTGACTGATAATTGGCTGAAAGACCATAAACGAAATCAATGAAACTAAATCTAGTCAAGGTGATGGCCATTGGAATAACAGGAGCCCTGAAGTTGAGTTTTATTTAGCATTCTTCTTCTTTCTCAGAAAGAAAAAAAAAATAAACACATAGCAAATTAAATATGTGATCCCCAAACCAACTATATCCAAAAATTCTTGGCTAAAAACCTGTAGATACACTTTCAAGAAGTGGAAAAATGGAAGAAAATGATTTCCTTAAGCTAACAAATGAGAAAATAGTTAATATGGGGCCTCATCCTTTCTGTGGCTGGTGGCTCTCTCTGGTTCCCGATTGTGTTCACAGGGAAAGACAATGCCTCTTTCATGTTATGAGGGGGCATGAGCCACCGTGGGAAGGAGAGAACTCAGTATTACCTGGTGTTAACTAGATGAAGCAAAAGTTGTTTTAATTAGATTGGTTCTTCCAGCTCCCTTCCCCCAATCCCAGCATCCATGTACTGGTAAAATAGGGCTAGGCACCATTGAAGAATGTAAAATGGAGCTTCCCAAAAGCTGAAAGTAGTCAAGCTTAGGGTCTTCACTGTTGATGGGAGAAACTGGACAATCCTTGCTGCTGGAGTATTGCATTGAGAGAGAGCAGGTACTTAGCCACCCCTCTGTTCAAAGCTGGAGCTGCTTGGGTTGTATCATATTTGCATTCTAATAGTCTGCCAGCTAATAGGCCTCTAGCCTTGAAGAAGTCAAGAAGGAAAAGGAGAAAGATAAGACTTCTTAATGCTGCTACAGTCTTTATTCCACTTATAAAGAGGTGGAATTGGTGGATTTAATTATTGTTGAAATATATGTCGTTGCATCTTCACTACGAAATCAGGGTCTCTGTCTCTCTTTTTTTAGATTCAAAGTGGTCTTCAACATACAACATCATTAGAGAGCTACTCTGTGCATCATTTGGAGATAGTAAGGATTTTTAAATAATTAGGTTTGAATAAAATATACTTAGATCTGTACTGCTTGATTAAATGATGTTTTAATGTTGCAAAAGGGCCATCAGGAGGCATTTGCTTGGGTGGAAACCGGGGTGCTTCCTCACTGGGCTGAAGACTAAGTGACTAAAGAAAGTCACTGGAGTACTGGGTCTCCATTCTTTCTTTACTTCTATGCTTGTCCTTCGTTTGAAGCCAAGGAGTTGTTTGGGGCTGTTATCCAGGCATTAACACAATAAAACTGAGTTGGAAATGATGGAGCAGAAAGAAATATTGGGAGCTTTCCTAGGTCCTTATTCCAGGATCCTCCAGTTTTAAGATCCTCGGGCCCTGCCTGGAGATCCCTGGCCTGGGGATCCACAGGTATTTGTGATATTCCACAAATGCCACCACTGCTAGTAGTGAGAGAGAAGTGCTTCCACAGGAAAATTAGAAGCCAGTGAGCCATTCTTCACGGGAATCCTAAGAGCATGAACAATATTCTTCTCCTAATTAGGATTTCATAATGTGTGAAGTGCATGGAAACACCTGGACTTCTCTAGAGTCTGAATTTGGAGATTATTTTGTTCTATTTGGGTTTATCGTGAAGCAGTTTTCCTGTAAATGTGACTAACTTAAGTAAAACAAATACAAAACCAAAACCAGCTTTAGGTCCCATGAGGAACTTCCAGAAATATCTAAAGTCTGTAGTCACTAAGGAACAAGTGTAATTCCTAATGGCAATGCTTTCTGCAGCATTCTGCATAAACCTGGAACCTCAAGACATTAACAGGTTATTTTTAAGAAAGGAGGTTGTATGAATTTGGGAAACATTTGATAAACAAAGTGCACAGTGATGGTATTTGGGGGGCACTGAAACCAAATCTTCCCCTCTGTGATTCTGAGCTGCAGGCTCCCCTATGGCTCCCACCATGAGATATGGGTCCAGCTGGCAGGACCTCTGCAGTGGCCACAAGTCAGGAGTGGAGGGAGCGGAGGAGGTGGTGTGTGCAAGGTCTCTGTGATCAGGGAGCGTCAGAAAAGTGAAAGATCTCATTCTAGTGTTTCTCCCACGTGGAGCTCTGTGGGGTCAGGGTGGGGAACATGACAGGAATGTCAGAATAATGTAAGATACCCAGTAACTTTGGGACTAACTGCCCAACTTCCATGTGTAGCTTGGGGAAGGCTACAGGCCTGTGGGAGAAGCCTTTGTTCAGCTCAATTCCATGTCCAGAAGAAAGTAAAATTGTGAGAAGAGTGGGACTGTTTCACATTTTTACAAACCTCTATAATGCCTGGCTTAATAGAAGGCAACGGGGTTTTCTTATCTGCTTCTGCACTGAGTCTTTCGAAATACCTGACCTCATGCAGGCTCTGGAAAACCCCACTGCACATGATGCTAATGTCTTAGTATTATCATACAAGTAATTTTGAGCTTTTAGATCCCTGAAAACACCTCAGGGACACCCAGATCACACTTTGAAAACCAATATGACAGTGATTGGGGTTGAGACAAAGAGACAACAGAGCCTTCACAACTGGACAGCCAGAGTCTGGACTCCTTGGGGGACCGGCTTGACCCCCAAGAGTCCAGCCAAAGCCGCCCGCCCAGCAGGGCCACTAGCCCAGAAGTCAGCATAACAACTGTGTAAGAGAGGCCAGTGGGCATTCATAGGGTGCTTTGGGAGGCTGAGACCCCTTATTCCTGAGACAGGGGGGCATCCTGGAGAGGGATATGGGGAAGCAGGGAGACACAAATTTGACTCAATGAGCACCTCAAAGACTGTGTCATCTGAGTCACTGAACATCTTTGGCAGGGCTTTGCATCGACTGAACATTTAACCTCCAGTTTTTTGTTTTTTGTTTTTTAATCAAAAGAAACTGAGCTGGCACACTTTGAAAAAGACTGACAGCTCTTCAAATATTAAATAGGGTTATCATACAACGTAGCCATTCTGCTCACAGAGATACACCCAAGAGAAGTAAAAACATATGTCCACAAAAACAACTTGTACACAAATGTTCAGAGCAACATTACTCTTAATAGTCAAAAGGTGGAAAGGACCCAAAAGTTCACCAAGTGATGAATAGATAATCAAAATTTGATAAATCCATAGAGTGGAATATTAGCCACAAAAAGGAGTGAAGGCAGACACATGCTGCAACAAAGATGAACTGGAAAACATTATACTTAGGGAGAGCCAGTCACAAAAGACCACATGTTGTATGATTCAATTTACCTGACATTTCCAGAATAGGTAACGTCATAGAAACAGGATGGTGGTTGTCAGGGTCTGTAGGGATGGGGAGGAAGGAGTGACTGCTGATGGGCATGAGGTTTCTTTATGGGGTTATCAAAATATTCTAAAATTAGTTATGGTAATGGTTTCACAATTCTATGAGTATATTAAAAACCACTGAATTGGACACTTAAGGCTACATTTTACAGTATGTAAATTATATCTCTATATGTTATTTAGAAATATTTTGTCCTTAGTTTATCAAAATAGGACTTGGGAATTCAGTAAAAGACTTGAGTTCTCACTAATTGAGCTCAGTAAGTTTTACTGTGATCAGTTATGAAAATTAAAATGCTGTACTAAAAATAATGCTACACTTTTCTTACAAATCCCCCCTCCACACACAAATTGATCAATCTTTTTTCCTACAGGACTTCCCAGAGGTTTTACACGTATGTCATTATGTCCGGTGAGGGTTCAGTGTTGAAGTGTTTCCAAAAACAGCTGCTCCCTGCACCTCTGCAGTCTCAGAGCATTTAGTGTGGCTCTCTTAGTGTCCTAGAGAAATCAGTTAGAGAGGTTGTCCTTTTCACTTTAAGAGTAAAAAGAGGCTTTACAGATTTATATGGAAGGAGAAACACCTTGGAAATAGAGTTAGGAGATGAATGTGTTTCTATAGAACAGAAATATTTAATTTAAAAGGACCTGAAGAGGGAGGCAGCCCCAGTGACCCTTCCTGGGGTGAGGGCTGTGCCAGGTGCGATCACACCACACCCCTCATCTTTCCAGCCAGGCTGTGAGGCCAGTGGGATGTCCTGTGTAGCACAAAGAGGTTTGGAGAAGTCACTTTGCTTATGGGCAAACAGCGAGAAGGTGATGGGATGGGGCTCTGGCCTCAGGGACATCTCATGGTTCTCCTGCCCTTTTCTTTAAACTTTGCAACCAGAAAATATGGAGCCAATAGCACTGTCTCAAGCCCATTTTAGGAAAGAACAGTGAATTAATAACTTGTGCTGTGTACACCTCTGTTTTGATTGGCTCAAGTATTTCTACTGTGATAAGTGAAATTCACCCATCACCTGTAAATTTCAAGTGTACAAGAGACTTAAGTCCATATTTTTTTTTTTTTTTTTTTTTTTTTTACTAATGGCCTTAATCAGCAAAGACACTGCCATTTTAGTGACATGTTTTTGGAATGGAGGTGGAACACAGTCAGTCTGTTAGTTGTTGTCTGTAGCTGTTTTATCCTTTAGTTCTGAAATCTACCACTCAGGTTGAACTGTTCTTTGCAACGCGTTACTTCAAGAAGGTTTGACCATTTTGTCTCTTCTTCATTCAACAGTACAAAAGAGAAGACCACCCATAGCTGTAATCTGACACTTCTAGCTATTCAGTTATGACTTCTCTGAATGTACAGGTATCATTTCTGATCAACCAAGAAAAACCACGTTATAGTATTAATCCACTGACACTTAAAAATAAGTAGCAAATACAATCAACAAGATTGTTATTAGTGACTATTAGGGGTGTCCATGTCAGGACTAAAAATGGAATATTTACTTTTCTTTCCTTGACCTGAAACTTTATGAATTATTTTATGATTACACATACAATTAGGAGCAATATTATATAGAAATATGATGAATAACATACCGTTTATTTAATTAATTCAGAGGAGGGAGGATTTCTTTCCTCAGTATATTAACAGTATATTAAGGGGGTGTGTTTAGGATACAGCACTTGGGAGTTTCACACTAATAATGTTCTTGCATGGGGTGGAGGATCAGTCTTCCTTCAATTGAAAGGACTGTTGAAATCCCTAAAAGCTTCGGAAGCATCCCAGTGCACTTGTTTTCCTGTCTGCCTGATGCTCGTATCACTCCAAGTCCTGTGCATAGTAATGGATTTTTCAAATCATTGTGACAAGGGATGAAATGTATGTCCCTTGTCCTAGCGCCCATATCACGTTGTAGTAGGTGTGTTGTAGTGACAACCACCCCCCAATCTCAGCAGTTTATAACAACGAACATTTCTTTCTTGTTTAAAATATCTCACTACTGTGACACTGTGTGTCTTTTCATTCCAGGACTCAGGCTAAGGAGCAGAGATCTGGGGGAACAGGCCCTTTTCATGGAAGATGAGAAGTACAAGGGGAAGAACCAAACCACACAATTGCTTTTAAAGCTTCTGCTGAGATATGCTGCACATCACACTGCTCATGCTGTTGTGGGCAAAGCAAGCCACAGGCCAAGCCTGGTAGTGGATCAGCTGCCCCAAGTCGCATGGCGATAGGCAAGTGTATCTGCTGTTACTGAGAAAAGAGAGGGGTACATAGTTGTGACAGATGATACAAATGTGCACACCTCGCCTAACACAACTCTAGTGGAACAGGCTATCTGTTGTGCTGGAATCCACGTGAGCTTTCGGATTTTCGTCCTCTGTGCATGAGACAGATTCCACTGGACACCGAGCTTATCCACAGCATCCATCCAGAGATATCTGGACTCACTGAACACCCAGTCACTGCCTGCAAACAGGAGATACTGAGTTTCCGGTAAGTAAGAACTCCCAGATGCATGAATACCTAAGAAGAAATTAAATGTGAAGATCTGATCAGAAACATAGTGGAACCAGTGAACACTGGCCAAAACAAACAAAAGTCCCATTTCACTGCCTGGACAATAGTAGGAAGGAATTCCTTACAGTTTCAAGCCCTGTATTGACTTTAGAGTCATTAATGAACAGTATCTATGTTGTGTGATCCATGAAGTAGTGAGAATTATTCACACCTGAAACCATTTTCCTACTGGCTACAGAAACGTTACCATGATATGATTTATTATTAAGTGTTGTTTTCCTTGTCAACATTTTATGGTTTAACAGCCCACCTAAGTGTGAATTAGTTATCAACTGGCTTTCTTATTGAAAAGACAGATGAGGCTGCATGAAAATGCTTAGCACATGGGTAGGAAGCAGTGGATGAAAACAGCAGAAGTAGGACCCAGAAGATGAACTCTTTTACTTTCGATTATTCAGATTATATGTAAGTTCCCATGCTGTTGAAATCTCTTCAGCAGCAAGTTAACCTCCAACCTGAGAAAGACAGAAGAAATCAAGACTTGAGGATGGAGGGGACAGGGACGGTCTCTGTATCCATGTGCTCCCTGAGGTGAGGGCCCCTGCCTCTCCCATCCTTGCACTCCTCATGCCTACTGTGTACCTGGTGTAGACCAGCTGCCCTGAGGTGTTTGAGGTGCTGTGTTACTATTGCCTCTCCTGATTTCCAACCGAGTGCCTCCTGAGTCATGTCATGCACCCCATCGCAGCCTTCACCCAAGGCCTGGAGACAAACCCAGCACACACCAGTCTAGTATTAATTCATAACCATCATTATGTACCTAAGATTCTACCTACCTGGATGTTAATTGATGAAATTTATAAAGTATTATAAGGACTTCAAATCCACTTATAACTATGACATACAAAATGCACAAAACCAACTTTTAAAGCCTTCTCTGATTTAAGACTGAAGAACTTTAAGACCATTACTTTTAAAATGTAAAAAAAAGAAAGAAAGAAAGAGAGAGAAAGAAAGAAAGAAAGAAAGAAAGAAAGAAAGAAAGAAAGAAAGAAAGAAAGAAAGAAAGAAAGAAAGAAATGGAAAAAGGAAAAGGAAATAAAGAAGCAGCAGTGGACATCAAAACAGAGGAAGATGCTACCTGCCTGCTCTCATCCATCTTCTCTTCACAGTCAGAAACACTAAGAGGAACCCTGTGCTACAGGAGAAGATGTTCCAGAAATTTTGTCTTAGGACTTTAACCTTTCTGATATATGACTGGGTCATAAACTTCCTTTTCAGAAGCTATCGATCACCCCATCACCTCTGCAAATGGGGTGTCTATCAATGGCGTCTGTTGCTGGCACATTGGAAAATGGTTCATGAGTGGTGAAATTTGTTGCAACTTTTGCTTCTGTCCTGTAATGAAGGAAAATAAACTTTCTTCTAGGAGTGCAGTATTGGATTTGCCTGGGTATGTTGAGTTTGTAGGTGTTGCAGGTGCACCTAGGCTTAAAGCATTTGGAGGCATCCTTGCATCTGTGTTAAGAGGCTCTCTGTGTAGGGGAGAGATCATTGACTCATTGGCCTGTATACTGATGTAATGCCCAAGGGGAGGGCCCAGTACCTTTTCTGAAAGGGGCAGCTCTTCCTCAGATTGGGAACTGGAATTGAGAGGTTGTCTTGGTCAGAACTGAGAAAGAATGAGCTCTGGATTGACGTCTCATCTTAAACTCCATAGAATCTGGGTTTGAGAGACAGCACACTCACAGGAGATTGGGGCAGAAGAGTGCTTTGTATATGGCCATAGCTCTGCAGTGATACCTCTCTCTTGTACCCAAAGTTAAAGACCCATAAACTCATGGTGGTAGGTGCTTCCTTCTGCAGCAAATTCCCCTTGAGTATCCCTCCCTTTTCTGCAGAGTTTTGTTTAAATGTTCCCAGTTGTGCTATGGGGAATCGGGGAGGAGCTGTGGACACACACTGGTCCATGTAGGGGCCGCAGCAGTGACCAGTGAGAGGGCTCCTTGAGGACGGCGACTCTGAGCACACAGAGCTTGTGCTATGAGACCTAGTAACTAAGTTCCCAAGGAGCTTTTCTCTTCTTTGCCAACCTTGAAGATCCAGGTATTATTTTATAAAGCCGGATGGAATCTTCCTGCACATAGAGTTCTCAGGTCCAGGTAGTATTTTATGAAGCCAGATGGAACTTCCCACACAGAAACCTAGAGTTCTCAAGTTTCTCAGGTTGCTCTCCGGCTCAGTGATGCTGCGTGAGAATGTTTAACCATATCTCCACGGCACAAGCTTTGGATCTGATGTCAAGAAGCTTTTGTGAATCCTAAAAACGAACTGCATCTCCCTGAATCGAAATAAATACTACTATATGCACTTGAATGGAAACAAAAGCTGGGATTCTTTTTGGGCCCTAAGCAAAATGTAGAAACTCATTTTCCCATCAGACTTTTCCGTAACTTTCCTTTAACCTAATGAGACACTCCATAGGAGTCTAACATTTCTTTGAATTCCAAGTGTAGGTTTCCTGGGTTGTCCATTTAATTGTTAAAGTGAGAGAGACTCTGCTGGAAGACAAGCACCACAGAACAGCAGGGGGAAAGCTGAAGGGAGGTTACTTGGGAGTCACCAGGAAGAAGCCCTGTGCAGACCGCCATCACTGGCTGGAGAGTGGCCATGAGACATGTGCGGTGGCCTCTGGATGCTTCTGAGCTGCCTCATGGGAATTTTCACAGCTCTTCCTCTGTTTGTAAATGGTGTTCAGTGAGAGAAGAATTAAGTGGTACTTAATACACACACGCTCACCAGATACTTGCCGCGTTATCCCCATACTGTGGATGGCTTTTGACGAGGTGCCTGATGAAGAGAGATGCACAGAGTTGTGAGTCCTGGCCCACAGAAACTCACGATGGGTGCTCCCCAGTGCTGGTGTTGAGTAAATGCCCAGGACAGTATGCACTGTGCTTGACACACAGTATGACTCATAAAATATCTGTTATTATGTGAACAGTGAACATATGCACAGCATACAAATCAGTAACCGAGTGCTGTTCTGATGATCTTGTCCTGAGCGGTTTTTCCCATCTAGTTGGAGACAAGACTCATTCTCTAGAAAGAAGAGCAAACAATGGCGGGTCCCACCAAGGCCGTGGACAAGGGAAAGGCAGAAACATGCAGAGGGAGCAGAGACAGAGGAGGCTTGAGACCTACGTGGAGGGACAGGAAGGGAGCTCGGAAGCCCATTTTCTAGCAGATCCCAAGTTGTGAGAGTTGATATTGTGGAGCACACACGCGCAGAGTAACACCTAGAAATCTCAGAGTTGGTGATTTAAAGAAAAAAAAAAAAACACAGACTAAAAATTAATCCTCAATTTCCCACAGGCCTCAAACTTCCAGCTGCTAAAAGACAGTGGGGTGTGGGGGTGGAAAGAGACCTCATCTCAGAGGGCCAGCTTTGTCTCTGACAGTTGAGATGGGTGCCAAGGAAGGACGAAGTTTCTCTCTGCCAACTAGACTTAGAGGGGGAAAAACAACCATAATCATGTTTATTTTCCTGATAATCATATGCAAATCAGGTTACAACAATCTATACACATGGTAATTCCTCTTTATGGATAAGTACAACTTAAAAGTTGTGAACAAGAGCAAAAGGATGTAATTTTCTACTTTTCTAATGAGCTCAGAGTTTATGCCCAGTTACAGTTGAGCTCTGGAATGGTTTTTCTAGCTCTTCCTGTCCTGTAGTTCTGGTAGAGAAGCTATGAGGACCAGAGACAGAGCCAAGGTGGTTTAAATTCTGGCTGCACCAACTGCCCTCCACATGATCTAGGGCAATTGACCCAACCTTTGTAGGCCCAGTTTCCTTTCCAACAAAATAGGCGAGATAACCAGGAGTCAAAGTGAAGTGACGAGATGTGAACCTGCTCTGTAAGATAATAAGCACTATTTGCTGGGAAGGGATTGTGGCTTCTTAGCTGTCCTTTAAGTGTGGTTGGGGTTGTCTGTGGATTAAGGAAGGAAAATTGGATTTTAATTCTAAACAGTCCTATGAATCAACTGGGGCTGAAGACCTGGGTGAAGGTAATCTATAGTCAGTGGATTTTAGATAGTTAACTTCAAATAATTAGGAACAACACTGAAATATTTGACCATATTTAGTGCATCTGCTGAAAATGTTTTTGAAAACTTAAACCCTGTAGTAGGTTAAACCAGCCTTGGGCTACACAGCCTGAAGCATGTGCTAGCGCAACGTGGGCCCGCTAAAACCAGGGGAAGTACCAGGTGATAGAAAACAAAATGAATTAGGTGAGTCTTACCTTCCCCACTCCTCTCTCCTTTTCCTCCCTTCCCTCATTCCAGGTTGAGATGTCCTGTTTCCTATAAACTCTCACATGCCCTGGTTTTTGACTGAAGCGTTTGTGATTAGACGAGGACTTGGATAACTAATGAGAAGCCTCGTGACCCACGCAGCAGAGGAGCAATGGAGAGATCACTCCTGAGTGTACGTGCTGTGCTCAGCATAGCTGCGCGGCATCCTAACCGTGTGTGGGTGCTTAACAATGCCACCTGGTGATTTTTATGATGTCATGCCACAGTCTTCTTATGTCAGTTGGGCTCCTCCCACACCTATTATGAGAATGAAAGATCCCGCAGTTTATGGGTTGAGTCGCAGTGGATGATTTGTAGGATTAAGATTAATCAGTGGCCTCTGATTAAAGTCTTAGTTAAATGGACCTGTTTCCTCCATGGGTCTTCGGTATTTAGAGACTTGGTCCAGGTTATCCCGTTAACCCGCTTTATTAGAGAATCTTATTGCTTTATTTATGGGATTGTGAGAGTCCAAAGGTTTTTACTTTCAGCTGCTGCTGCTATTTTGCCCCTAAAAATAGAGTGTAAGCCCAATTTTTTTTTTTTTTTTTTCTGATGGAAGAAAATTTTTTCTTTAATCTGTCATAGAAAAGGAGACTTTTCAAGCCCATAGAAGTGATTTCAACTTTGGACTTGTGAAGAGAGCTGTCAGCATACACCACATCTGTAATGAAAAGGCAGGATTCCTTCCGTCTGAGGGGTCTGCGGCATCCCAGTCAGTGCAGAGGAGTTCAGGACGTCAGTCAGTTCGACGCCTCTGAAGGAACAGTCAACATCATCCCTGGAAGCGGAGATTGTTGGTTGGTAGAGGTTATTGCTAAATTCGAAGAGTGTGCATCAGACAGTAAAGCTGGTCCTTTCATGAACCGGGGTTTGGAGGCTGCACATTGCCAGAAAGAACCTGGCCTGCATCCCTTCCCTCTTTGTCACTGCCTGGCTTTCGGAGCCTCTTCATTAGGCTTGCTCAGGAAGCGCATCCCTGCCCTCAGGTTCTCTTTCTGGATCTCAGTCCTCCTTGGATTGTCTGGTCCTTACTGTGAACTTCATACCTGACTCCGTTTTCTGAGTTCTGCTACCTAGTTCCAGCTCCAAGTCTCAAGTTCCCAGGCAGGCCGCAGGCACACACAGACACATGCTCGCTGTTGGGAGGACTCTGCCCTGCCTCTGTGGCAGCCGTGCTGTGAGGCTGTTAAGAAGCCATGTACTATGTCAGTAGCTTTCTGTTCCCCCAGACTCTCAGACCCTGTGCGCCCCTCTCTGTACCGTGACCCTGTCTGTGGGACCCCACTTCCGCTGTTTTGTCTCCTTGTTCTCTGCTCTTCCTCTTGAACAACGGACTCCGCTGCATCTGTTCCTGACTGTCTTATGATATCTTCTGCGTTCCCTTTCGTGTTTTTTTCACTACCTTCAGATTCGTGATCATCTGCCTGCAGATTGCGCGTAGAGCTTCTCCTAGTCAGCCTCAGAGCCGCTGGCACCCCCAGGCGCTCCATTTGCCTGGCAAACCTCCACCTCCACCTTTTTGTGATTTCCCTGCTCCTGTGAATGGTGTCACCAGCCATCTAGTTAGCCGCTGTCATTGTTAGCCATCCCCTTCCTCCCACCCCTGCTGGTTCTGGCTTCATGTACCCTTCCCACCCCGCTTTAATATCCCAGAGTTCTGCGCTAATCTGGACCCTCGTGCTGCTGGAGGGCACACATGGCTGCAATGGTCACTTAGCAGCCCAGCTATCTCCATAGCATGGCCTAACGCCCATGTCTAAATCATGTTACTCTCACGCTCAGGCAACCCTCTACCTTCAAGGGGTGCTCGCAGGTTACAAAAGGAAGCCCAAACATTTCAAAGTATTGGCTAGGCCCCATATTCCACGTCCTAATCTACTTGTAGCTGTGCCAAACCTTTCACCTTATACAGCCTCCCTCTGGTCCTGGGGACTGTCCCTTAATGTTTCCCCTTTTGTGTCCTTTGCTTATGTGAGTCCTTCTCTCTGGGACAGTCACTTCTCCTGAGCAAATCCCAGCTCAAACACAGTCTCCTTCAAGAAGCGTTTCTTAGTGTCTGAGGAGACTCCTTTTCCTCCGGGCTTCGACAGCCTGCCCGCTGAGTGGAGTGTCCTGGAGGTACTTGCTGCAGCCTCTAGCTGCCCAGGAGTGATTTGTCTTCTTAGAAGCCTCATCTTCCTTTCAACTCTAAGCCCACTGAGTCAAGAACCTTGTCTTCTTAATGTATGTATCTTTCACTTACTGTATGAACTTGCTTTACTATGGTGAGCCCTGAAAAATGATTGATTTCATCTTGTTGGAAGAAAGACTGCTTGGCTTCCATGAGGGGAGTTTTATATGTATTACGTACTCTACAAAAATCCTTATTAAGAGTTTGGTCCTATTTTTAATCAGACTCCAATTTGTGGATTAAAATTCGGAGGTGACATGAAATAATTTACAAAACATCATTCTTCTTTGGTCATAATTTTTTTGAGTGATATTTTTTCTTAATTCCATGTACATCTATCTCTTTTGGTGTTTTAAGACCTCGAACTGGGGCAAGCCGTTGATAATTTCTTTAAGGAGAAAAGAAAAACACATAAATTTGAAAATTTTAGTAGCTA